GGAAATAGTAAGAAAAATAGTAAGAGAATTAGTGGCTTGTATCATGTTTAATTTATATATACAATCTATGCCCGTCCAATATAATATATATATATATATAAATTTAAAAGTTGTTAATATAATTCCAATTTAAAAAATATCCAAATTAACATACACATATTTTTTTTTTTAACAAAAACTAGCATACATATATAATTCTTTATAGTAACAATGTAATGCCAAGCAAAACATAATTTTAATTATACTTTTATTGTATCTATAACTAATTTTTTACTGCCCACAGTTGTCAAACTTTCAAGTTAATTTTTTAAGTTTAACATTTTTACATTTTTAGTCTACAAAATCTTGCCAACTCTAGATACAAACTCAATTAAACTTACAAGTTTACCTTCAAGTTTATTGCTTTTGTTTTTAACTTACAAAATCTTGTCAACTAATTCATAAATTTGAACTAGATGTAACCTCGTTAAACTTGTTAAGCTCATTGATTTTTTTTTTAGTTGAGTAAGTTAAGTATATATTATAAAGAATTTGGTTCATAAAAATTATAGAACTATATTAATAAAAAATACCAAAAATAAGTTCTCTATTTTAAAATTTCTATGTTTTGTTTGATAATTTATCAATATAGATGTGTTTAGTTTCAATGATTTATATTTTAAATATATTTAAATTAAATTATGATCATATTTTATATTTTAATTATTTAATAATAAATTTTTAATAGTTATTTATTAATAGAAGTAAACTTTTATGAGTTTATGATTTAAGTTTGTGATCCAAGTTTACATTTCTATCATGAGTTTAACAACCTTGCTACCACCTATTTCGACTATCATGTATAATATTAATATCTTTTTCTCCTTGACTATCATCTAAAATAGCTTCTATATTAGGTTCTATTTGCAACTTGCTTAAGTTTTATAACTTTATATATCATAAGATTACATTCTCATGTTTTTGTAATTAAGAAAAATGTAATCTTTATTCTTCTATTACATCTAAAACTTTTTTTTTAAGTTAAAACTATGACTTTAAAAGCAGATAAAAAAAAGATTTTAGTAATAAAAAGTTTAATATTACAATCTTTGATAAAATTTAATTTCTTAAAAATTTTCTTGAAATATTGAATTTGAAATATCAAATTGCAATCTAGAAGTGTTGAATATGTGTTGAAAATTATAAATTTTTAAATTAAAAATAATATTATGATACTTTATGAATACGTATTTAAAAAAGTATCAATAATAAAATTTTAAATTTTGAGCTTCAATTACCATTTTGCTTGAACCATTGCATAAATGAAAGTGTTAAATATGAGAATTTTAAAAAAAATGGAAATTTCTTTTGTCACATTGAATATATGCCAATCGAAACTCACTATTATTGTTGTCACACACATAGTGAAGCATTTGTGAAGACTGATAATATGAGATAAAATAGGCATAATGCTGCATACATCAGCCATGGACATGGTCTGTGAACATCCTTTTCAGCTTTAATTGCTATTTTTTTTTCTTATTTGTGAACAAAGGTTTGCTATTTTTAAATGTATAGTGTAAACATGCATTCCATCATCTGCATCTTCCTCTCATCCAAAGCAAAGCATATCTCCAACTCTACTTCGACACTAGAGTCCCATAACGACGCCCTAAAAGCCAACAACATGCCCAATTGCTACCTTTTTCTGAATTACTTTTCATCTTCTAATTCTTTGGTTTTAGGTACTTGATGAGTATCACGACCTTCACACTTATTTGGCTGGGGGATTCCACAAATGCATTCGTTTTGCTATAAATGTGGCTTGATTTGGCATAATGTAGAGGACGTAACTTTGTTGAATTAATAGCGAAGGTGTGTTATGGTTGTGAGGTTTTAACTATTAATTCAAAGTTGTTACACTTACGTAAATTTTGTTATATGTTTCAAAGGCTTGTCTTGATGTTTTATTGGTGATAATGAGACTGAAAAGGCCAAACTCTATCCCATCCAAATCCAAGGCCATTTATCAGGATTTTTTTAACCACCTTCCAAATATAAGAAAATATGTTGAAATTAAAGTAGTTAAAACTAATGAACGTTAATTTCAAGTTTAACCCCTTTTTTTCTGTTTAAAAAAATTAACCTTTTTCAAGACGAATAAAAGAAAGGCCAAAATAATTTGGGCCCACTAAGCAAAAGTCGAAAGCAGGCAGAAAACACTCAAAGACGACCTGGTCCCATGACATTTTAACTAGGCTCTGAGCCCAATACATATTAAAGATTGTTTTTTCAAGAAAGTGGGCTGTTGGCCCAAAATATTGTTATTGAGCTTCAACCAGAATAATAAACTTTGGGCTTAGAATTGGATAGGGGCCGCGCGAACGCAGGCCCCCACTGCCACAAATTATGACGTAGGCTCCACCAATCAGGTAGACCTTAAGCATGGACTCCTCCAAAGTGCAATGGAAGCCCCAGGCCTAGGCCATGGACCTTTATGATCACCCATTGACCCCGTCCAGGTAAGTATGTCTGAACCGTACTCCTTCCCTTCCTTATATACTCTCTTGTCCTCTCCCCAACTTTACTTTGTCCCGATGTGGGACTCCAACTTCTGCATTCTTCAGCGATCTGTGTAGTCTCTGGGTGTATCTGGTGCTTCTTCACAATAGAACATGACTCCAAAAAAATTGGAAATTTTACTTTTTGGGAAGCGGATTTGAAAATTCACAGCAACTTAATGGTGGATTTATGCCATATCCAACTAATTAATAAGCTAGAAAATATTTCCATCACAATAAAAACACTGTTATGTTCATATCAAAACCAAGCATTTTGATGATACACAGAGTCAGGAACACATTTTTCGTGATTGCATATATTACGAGTTCAAGGAATGACCTTGTGTTTTGGGCACAATACTTCTCTTCGTTGCTTGGTTATTTGCAGGTGCTAGCAGATGGTAAGGTGTACTGATCAGATATGTCAATTTTAAGATATGTCAATTTTAAGGTTAAAGCCTAGAGAAATAAGATGAACCCCAACATTAATTTGCCATTACGCATTGTGGGCCAATATTTGGACTCGATCCTGTGGAAACAAGAAGCCTCGGGCAAAGGTGGAGAGTCAATGAATTCTATCTGTTTTGGAGGTATCATTCCATGGTTAAAGATGTTTGGGACAAGCTAGAGTCTTTGAATTCTATCTGTTTTTCTAGTCCATTGGGATGAGAATCCCTGCTAATTAATTTCCTAGCAGGTTTGACTTCAAGGGAGTTGGAGGTTGGGTGTTTTCACCACCACCTTCTCTAGCAAACCAAGATTAATAGACACCGAAAATCTATGGGTAGTAAATATAATTAATGGTAAACCAAAGTCGTTCTAATAAAGAATTAAGTTAAATAAAAAATATACATTAAATTCCAATTTTCAATTAAGTTAAGTAGGCAAAATATAGTGATAGATGTTTCAAATTAAAAGTAGACAAGTAAAACTAGGCAACTAAAATCATGAAGCACTATAAGTTCAAGAAAACAACAAGGAAAGTACCCTAAAGTCCTAATCCCTCATTTGCTTCATTATACTAAACTTACCAGTTAAATTGATTTTAATTTCCATTTGTAAGAATTGGGACATACTTAGCTTGAATTAATCTTAAATATTTTCAATTACTCAAAATCTTACTCAATTCTAACTCAACATACAATTCCATGCCAAAATCATGTTAAGTGCATTAAATTCAATTCCCTTCTAATCACTTAGGTCCATTAGGCTTGGTTTCGATGAGGGGAAAAGTATGAAGAAAATGAGGAGAGAAAACTAGGAAGAGATATTATCAAAAGGAGTAATTTTTTTATTATTATTGTTAAGAGCTCTCCCTCTCAGTTTTCTTTCCTCTTTATTTTTTCCTCATCCAAAATGAAGGGTTATCAGGTACACTTCTATCCAAAAGGCAAATTAACTATGTTAATTCTAAGCTATCAATTCTAATGATTCAACAAAAATTCCTCTCCCAAGTTTATTCTTTCCCCCCTAAATATTACTTGACATTGGCCAATAACTTAGTAAATCAAAGCAAAACTAGAATTGAAACATAAAACATTCAGTAATCACAAAATAAAATTGATAAATCAAGCTACAACTTAAGCAAATGAGTTTGTAGTAGTCTAGAGTATCAAAGGACAATCACACATATAGCTAAAGAAATCTTAAAATTAGCTGAACAAACATTCAATATCAAATGCATAGTAGAAAGAAGAAGAAAAGTAGTGGAAAACTCAATGAAAATGCAAAGGGTAATGATCTCCTCTTCCTCCCAAGCTCCAAATTCGAACCCCTCTCCAAAGTCTTCTCTAAACCTTCAGGTTGCATCAAAATCCAAGCCTCCTCGAAAAAACCTGACCTCCCTCTTTTATCTGACTTAAATACAAAGCTGTTGTGTTAACAGAGAAAATTGCCATGCCAACCGCATGGCGGGTTCCTATTCTGGTTTTTGTATGAGAGCCTTGCTGCAGCAAATTGTCATGGCAACTGAACGGCATGCAGTGACATCTAACTCTAAGCAAATTTTCTTACTGTAACTCCTTCCATGTTAATCACTCATGTAAATGCTTCATTCGAAATTGCAATAATTCTTTTATTTTCACCAATCTTACACCATCTCCATGCTCGCACCTATTTTGGAATTCGAACCTACGATCTTCATGTTATTGAAGTTGTAGAGGATCCATTGCTAGTAAGGCATGCATGCCTAATTTAAAATGTCAATATATTATTTTTATCTAGATATTTATATCCATGGTATTTGAAAGATTCTAAATTATTATGAATAAAATAGTATTTGTAGCTTTGCTGATGAAAATTTTCGTAAATTGATAGCTAACTAGTCACAAATATTTTGTTATATTAGGAAATCAAAAACTATTTATAGCTTCGTAGGTAAATTATTTGTATGGGATAAATTAAAGAAGGGAGATTGTATGTTATTCATCTAAATTAAGAATGAACGAACGAACTTATGAATCATTATTCAAAGCTCAGATTTATAAAAGTAGATCTTTATTTAAAGAGAGATATCCATTATTACATGTGATTGTAGTAAAACATGCATGGATCATACACTCATACTGGCATGCAAATGCAAGCCTAGCTAGCTAGCTAGACATAGATATAGCTATGTCAAGCTATTATTACATCCCATGCATCTTACAGAATTTTGGCCAAGAGACTCTTGAATCCCCTCAACGTAGAAGCACGATGGACACATTCACAAACTTTAATAGTGCCTAAATCGTCCTTGATCTGAGCACTATAACCTGTTAACTCATCATAGTACCTGTTCCAGATCATGACTCCACCGAAGTTTGAGGATTCCTTCACGTACGGAAGAACCTCAGACTTGAGATCTTCGGGTGATATGTAACCACTTGATGCTGCATTTGGGTCATCTGACGCTACTAAGCCCAAGAACACAGAGGTATGATCAGCTACACCTTCCTTGGATGTCCACGTCGACCATGATTCAAGAAGCCCTGTGAAGTCGCCATTTCCTAAATATTCGCACGTTGCGTACCGGTCATAGTATAAAACAAAAAGATAATCCACAAGACCAGTAGCGATTGCGCTGTCGAAGCCCGTGAAATCGCAACGTGGAGCTCCTGATATGTAAATCTTTCTGTCTTGGGTTGAACCTATTAGAGATTTAAAAATAAAAAAATACACATCTAGAAATTAAGGGATTGATCATGGATATATAAAGTTTGGGATGTATGTAACCAAATAGCTTTTGCTATTTTAATGAAGTAGATTATATTTAAGCATACTTAATCTAAAGAATTTAACATGGTATGAAGAGTATCTCATATCTAAAAATTAAAAGAACGATCATAAATTATAAAAAAAACTTAGAATGTATTTAACCAAATAGTTTAAGTTATTTTGGTGAAGTAAATTATTTTTAACCATATTTAATATAAAGAATTTAACACTACCATTGATTGCTTTCACAAGGTCGACCCATGACTCAGCGCTGTAATCAAGGTTGGCAAGATCAATGCCGTCTAAGGCCACCAGTCCGAGAGGGCCCGATCCGGATTCACCGCTAAGAAATTCACTATAGAGAAAGCTTGCCAGGTCCTCCGGGTCATCGATGTTGTCTACTTCGACGGAAAGAAAGACTTGAATGCCTTCGCTTTGACAATGTTGGATTTCCGATGCTAGGACTGTGCAATTGCCCTCAGGACAATGGTCGCTCAATACTAAGGCTTTGTCGTTTCCTGACACATGGAGGTATGCGATGACGACGATGTTGTAGAGATCGGAGTCGCATGTTGCGGTTAAGTTGCCTTCACCGGATTCGCTATTTTGTCCCCAGTAGACAGCGATTTTGCCACCATTGATGTTTGTGGGAGAATCAACGGCATCGGAGGGCTTGATGATGAAGGACAATACTGTGAGGAGAGAAAGAAAGAGAATAATAAGTTGTTTTTTGGAAGCCATGATGGATGATGGGATTGTGATTTTCTTGTTTAGGTTGGTGTTTCATGCTGTAATGAATGGCGCTTATTTATAAAGATAGGGCATGCATGGGAATGGCAAAGGTACAGCGAAAAAAAATTCATAGCAATTGCGATAATATTAAGTAATAGTTCTAAATCATAACAACCACGTTCTTTACATGGGCGGTTGATGAAGAGAACAAATTTTCAGGAAATATTCCTTTCATTCTAATTTATAAGATATTTTTAAATAAGATCATGAATACTAATAACATTATGAATACTAATAAAATTAATTAAACACACTTTACAATCTTATTATTTCAAAAAATATATAAAATTTTAAAAATGTAATTCATTTAATATTACATTTGTAAAAGAATGTATTAAAGAGAAAAAAATATACGAGAAGGATAATATTTTCATTAGCAAAACTTTATTTTTATAAATATATTATATTTTGATATGTTAAATCTTCTACATCTGTGTCTTATAATTTGGGACAAATGAAATAATATATAAAAAGTGACATGAATATCATCTCCCATAGAAGCTGCGAGAATTCTATCTTCTCTATGTATCCTAGATATTAATTAATAGTTTTATTTTTCATATTTTAAGTTTCATTTATTTTTCATATTCTGCAATTTGATCTAAAGTATTTTATATTTTGAAACAAAAGGAGAAGGACATTAAATAATGGGATTGTTTACTTTTTCTGTGAGACATTATTATAATTAGACAATTGCAAAAAACCCCATACTTGTAGTCACCATATTATGACAAAGAATACCAACGTTGAAGTTCACACCACTAGTTAGCCAGAGGTACACGCATATGTGATTCTATTTTTAAGTTCCTTAATTAACTCATCTTAAAACATATTTAATGAATCAACAGTTGTTTTTTAGTTTTAGTAAAATAGTTGAAAGTGTCTTTTAATAAAAATTAGAAGGAATATAGAATAAAGATGTAGTAATACACTTGATGATGGTCATTAATTTTAAAAATTCACATAATTTTTTAATTTAAAGATAATAAGTATCATATCATGAGAACCGTGAATAAAGGCCTACCTTGCCGGGCAATTTCCCCCACAAAGCAAAGAAAATATTATGGTGACTTCAAAATTTTCAACTGTCCCTACCATCCCAAAAAATTTCATTTGTACGTCCCTTTACAAAATTTCACTTACCTCTCTTCCAATATATAGATTTTACTTAATGAAATAAAAATAATTATAATAAATTTAAAAATTGTTTATGTAAATACAATTTGTTATGTTATTATATTGGGCGTTATTTTCAGATTTAATTTTATTAAATTCTACTCTTAATATAATATAATAAATATTTAAAATTATTTTTGTCAAAATATTAACCCCATTTTAAAGTACAGATTATGCCTCCAATGGCCGTTAAGTTAGTTAATTTTATCCTATAAATAAGAGCAGATGGAATATATCATAAATTGTAACTCAACAAGCCTCATTGATTGTTTTTTAATCAATTTTTCATTTGGAAAGAAAAAGGGATCCTTGAACCGAAGCTCTTTTTTTGTGACCTAAACTAATATATAGGTCTTGACCTAAACCAATGCGGTAGCTGGGCAGCTTGTGGGTGTCTCTTTGGGAGATATGTCTCCCAAAAGGTACAAACTTAATTCTCATATATTGAGTTTCTAATTTTTTTTTAATATATAGACTCATTTATCCACATTTATGTATATCCTACTCCTAAGTTTGACAATATTATATCATTTGGTTCTTATTATAATGTGCCTTCTAAAAAAGATGGATGACCCTTATTATAAGTCTCTTAATGGGATATTAATTAATTTTTTAAATATTACTCCTATTTAAAGTTATTAACTATAAAAGAAAATGTAATATAAATATAAAAAAAATTTTAAATATGGGTAAAAAATCTAAAATTATTATATTTTTAAACAAAATAAATGACGTAATTTTTTTTTTGGGTTAAAATTAAATTGTACTTTTAGGGATGCAATGTTCTAAACTCAACTTTGGTCTATTTTTTTTCGTAAACTCTCAATCTGACCATGTTTGGTCCTTCTGACGTTATGTTTGACTGTTAATTGCTGATGTGGAACAAATTACTTGACTTTTTATTGCCAAGGTGTCATCCTATCTATGAAAACACAAAGGCTAAGGGCATGGATCTTCTCCTAGTATTCTTCCCTGAAGATATCTCCCCCGTTGCCGACAAACCTAAGTTCCCTGGTTTACGAAAATGGTATCATCAAAGCTGAACGAAGCAATATAAACAAAGCAATGAACCCACCAATCGAACCCAACCAAATTAGAAGCAACCCAGAAGTACACAGCAATCAAACCCACCTTTCTCTTCTTCTCCCCAAAACCCAGAAATACTCATTTATCCACAATGGGCTTTGGATTGAAGCTTCGATGGCTGGGAACGAAGAAAGTTTTTTTGAGCCACATGAGGAAGAGAAGTTTTTTTTTTTTTTGAAAAAAAAATCGACTCAATTTGTCACATGGCATGATGTGGCCTAACAAGTGGCAAAAATAGTGAAGTCATTTGGCCTACAGCATTTAATGATCGAACTTAACCTCAGTTAACTAGAGGAGCAAAAATGATATGGTTTTGAGAATTTAAGGGAAAGAATAGACTAACATTGAGTTTAAAACATTGGATATCCTGAGAGAATAGTTTAGCCTTAAGGGTAAAGATAAAATAATTTATTTTTTTATTTAATAAGATAATTAGAAGTGTCTTATAATAGAGAGCTTATAAACTTCTTTTAAGTTAGAATGAAATAAATTCACAAACTCTGTATTCTGTTGTAGTTAAATTGAACTAGCCTGAAATCAAAATATTAAAAATTTAATAACCCATCTATTTTCATAATAAAAATTAGAAATCATCTAATAAAAGTGGTTGACTAACTTGGTATTGGGAGTTGGTATTTATTTTTTAGGGAGAATTACATAGAGGTCCCACACAAAGAAGTTAATTACTACAAAGTTAATTAACAATTGAATTAAGGCTATTTACAATATAATGACCTTAATTTAGTTATTAATGAATATTATATAATTAATTTTTTATGTAAGAATTTAATGTAATTCCTTCTTTTTCTTTCTATTAATGTAGCAGGAGGTAGAATAGAAAGCAACCGCGTTAATTTTTCTTCAATTTGAAACTTAGCTAAATACATTGATTGTGGAAATATAAAAATAAAATCAGTGTAAAATATAAGATCTAGTATCAATATTATTTTAAAATTTTAAGTGATATTATAATAATATAAATAGTTGTTGTTAAAAGACCAAATGTCGTTCCCTTATTCACATAACCAATGAGCAAATTTTTTTCTGGACCAAGACTAAATTAAAATGGCGGTCACTAACCGCAAGTAAACATAAAATTATTAAATATATGAGTAATTACCTCTTGAATTTTAGGTCTAGCGATACCATAGACGTTGAACTCATTTATTGTTCAATTGTTCTTTTACTTTTGAAATCTGTGAAATCTAACCCCTGTCATTAACAAATTAGACCAAAAAATTATAGATAAGCACCCAAGTTGGGTCTTTTCTATAATTTTTGAAGTCTTTTTTGTTATTTTCTTGTCAATTAATGATCAAAGTTAATGTTTATTAATGATAGGAGCCATATGTATTTAAAAGTGAAAGAATAATTTGTATAATAAATAGGTTTAGGATCTATGATGCTACTTGGTCTAAAGTTTAGAGAGGCAATTTGCTTAGTTATCCTAAATTATTACCAAATATAATATAATAATGAATAAAATATCAATTCTTACCAATCTTAATTCTCTTTTACCTGAATCAATGCTTAATTCTTGATTCTTACTGTTTGCCGCATGCTCATCAGACTGACTCAATTTGAGCACTCCATTTTATTTTGAAATCATCTCTTCTGTTCATTTAAATTAATTTTTAAGTATTTTTATAGATTTTTTTTATAGTATTTATTAATATAAAAAATTAAAAATTTAATATTACATTTAAACTATATTATATTATATCTAAATTGTCAAAAGTTCATCTAGATAGTCAAATCAAAAAATTATAAAAAAAATAATCTTAAATTTAATTATCTAGATTAAATTTGTACTGATCAAACTGGTGATAAATATACTTATTAAATTTTTTTATATTTTTTTACAAAATTTTAATTTAATAAATCTAAAATAAGAATAAAAAAAATTTAAATTTAAAAACTTCATCTCATCAAAAGTAATAAATATTATAATGCTTATTTCTTGATAAGCATGGAAGATAGTTTAATATTTAAAAATTAATTTAAATGAATGGCTACAAAGATTGTTTCCGATTAAAATAGAAAGCTCAGATTGAGCCACGCAATGATGAGCGCGATCACCGATTGCGTACGCATTTGGAAGTGAAAAGGTTGGTAGGTGTTATTTCCAATGGCATCAACTTGTTTTTCAGGTGTAATATGTCAATTGATCAAAACATTTTGAGACTTTCAAGTTCACACCCGCTGGCTCATTGAAGAAGGCAGCAAGGTTAAGCGTAGCCATCAAATCTGAATTAATCGATTAATTAAAATTTTAAATTTTTTAACTGAAATTTTAAATTTTTATATTAAATAAATAAATATTATTTAAAATAAATTTAAAGCAAATAGTTGTGCGGGAAAAGTCAAGTAGTTTGATCCACGTTAATATTTAATGGTTCAATTTAACCGCAATTAACTAGGGACAAAAATGATATGGTTTT